GATGCTCTCCTGACTAAGGCGGAAGGAGCCGAGTCCAGATCCTCAACCTCGCCAGGGTTTACTTCCCAAGTCAGCAACTGGGAGGACCCTCCTTGCTTAAGAGGAGACACCATGGTTGCTACTGTGTTTATCACCGTAGTTCTAATCACCGTAGTTTCCATGATGTCATCCTCGTCCGACAAAGGCGAGTCATCCCAGAGCTGATTAGGGTTGCTCTCCTGACTAAGGCGGAAGGAGCCGGTTTCCTCTAGAAGATTGAGGAGAAGATCCGACTGCTTCTCCAGGCTTGCATTAACGTCGTCGAGACTGGGACAGGTGTCTAAAGAGAGGTCCAGGGGGATGGCTTGGGTCGTCAACACTTAGGGGGTTCATTGATATATTACCTTGTAGCATCAGTCGAAAAATCGCATAAATTGTTTTTGCTTTTTAGGTGGGGGGCTCCATAGAAGTGCTGTGAGTGAGGGTTTGAGGTCGACCATGGCATAGCCTCTTTCCATGGTAAGGACTTGGCAACTAAGCCTGAAAAAACTTGTTGAGGCGCCCAGGTATCAACACTGACCCTGACTGCAAACCATGGAACGCTGATAGGCACGAGGTCGCATGACACCCCAGCGTTAGGGGAGACACTTTAAGAAGGTAGTGTCCCAGACCTTTGAGATGGATATAAAAAGGGGCGCCATTCTCGCCTCGTCGGCTCAGGGATCGTAGGCACTCGGTCCTTTCCTCCGAGACTCTCCCCCTGAAACCGCTGATTGTCTGATGACTGTTTCACAGTTACCCAACGAAAGGTGTTGGGCTTCCCACTATCCGCAACCTGTGGACGCGTCCGCTAGCATTCAGCTCTGCGGAGCCTACGGGGAGCAGAGCTTATGAATAAACCTTGATTTATTCGTTTTCAATTGACTCACAAGAAACTAAGGTCCTTGCATATTTGGGTAATACGGACATTCAACAAACCCTATAATGGTGAGAAGGTGGGTATTTAAGTACGCAACGCACTGAATTTAGGTACGGGCCTCATATATCAATTTCAAATATAATAAAAACCAGTGAGCGGAGCAGTATAGTCGGACGGGGCCGACCATACGATACCCTACACAACTACCACGGAACTCAAATTTTCTGCGGATGTTTATTCCGAGCCTGGGCAATATTTCGTGATATTTGCACCCTCTTGCCCGATTAGAGGTAAACAGCACCTCTTCCTCACACTGACATATTTTCCGAATATTACGAGTATTCAGTACAGCTATTGTCCAGATTCCCTTCACAGTGGGTTGTGTTGTGATGTTCGGCTTTCATTTGTGGTCTCGAACATAACACAAAAAATTAAGTTTTCGTCCACTTCATTCCAAAATTATTATCTGATCATCACCGAAAATTATAGGCGTTGTCCTTGACCATAACTGCAACCTCATGGAACATTTCAAAGCGATCAGCACTATAGTTTCGCTCCCTAGAGTGATAATGGGTTACTACATAATATACGAATACAGAGATACCTGTAAATATTTAGGTGTAACTCCCACATCCGAGCACGTACAACAATATAATTGGTATTAATTTAAAGGTCAACCACTCCTCTTGGATATAATATAAACTTCTCGGGTCTATGTCCTTCAGGGGTAAATATATACGCTATAGAATATAAATTTTGTCATTTTTCACACAAAAGTCAGGGTCAATTTGACCCGCTAAATATTGACCGATCTTTATGAAAACAGGCATGTTTATTCTTTGGCCCGATCCCCTTCTCCATGTACAATTTCACGATGTTCGGGCCATTATTGCGGCCTCTGTAGCGACCAGAAAAACCGACAAAAATTTAGTATTTGGTCCATTTCATCCCCTAAATATTAACCGATCTTTCCCAAAAACAATAGGGGTCTTCATTGGTCAGAACCCATCCTACATGCAAAATGTCGTGAAGATTGGACCATAACTGTGGCCTGTATCGTGTTTACAAATTATAATGGACAGACGGACTGACGGACACACATGTCTAGATCGACTCAGCTAGTCGAGATATGACGATCGGTATACTTAAAGGTGGGTCTAGGACCAATATTTTGCGGCGTTACAAACTTTTGGGTCTGCACAAAGCTATAATACCCTGACAACATAGTTGTGTAGGGTATAAAAATCCATAAAATTTATGTATTTCGATTGGCATATTTTCAATAAATTAAACAAAATATACAGCTGAATATTGCTCTCAAGATTGGCTGCTTGTTTCAACTTATATTTGTAAGTTTTAGAAGCAGGATGATATGTTCATTTAAATTTTGAGCTGAATGCTGTCAAATGCAATTTTATGAAAAATTGGAAACATATGACTGCATGAGACTATCTTGTATAATTATGCCATGGTAAAGACGTCAAAATATGGTTATTTTTTTTTTTAACCATATTTTGACGTCTTTATTCTTGTAAATTTATATTTGTAATTTTAGTACCATTTAGTTCCATTGTTCTCTTATAGTACCTATTTCCACAACTACATCCATATCTCAACACTATACATCACATCAATTCTGATCCCAACAGAAATCTAGCTCTATACTAATTTTGGTACCATTTATTACCTTTCGATTCCCAATCCTACACTCCAATAGTAATTTTAAATCCAAATTTCAAGATTCCAGCTCTATCGGTTCGCCCAAAATACAAATTTTACCAACAACATTACTACGAATTTCTAAAACTTCATACAACCAAACAGCGATCCTAACTCCAAAATTCTGGATTCCCGCTCCATCGGCTGACCCTATTCGAAATTATACCAATCATAGTACGATTTGGTACTTTTCTTACACATAAAATTGGCGAAAACTACGTAAATATCCCCAACCTAATTCCAGCTGCATCCATTTCTCCAAATTTAAATTGTACCAAATTTAGAACATTTTAGTACTATTCGTTTATATTAGTACACACTTCCAAACCCACCTCCTTATATCGACCCTACTTCTCAACCCTGATTAGCATTCCAAATTTCAACTTGTTAGCTCTATATGTTCTCATGTTACTTTTGGGATACTTAAAGTTCGAATTAAAAAACCCCTTGGTACACCTATCCTACACTCCATCAATCACCCTCATTTAAAATTGAAGAGTTCAAGCTCTACCTGTCCGACAAATACAAATGGAACTACTTTTTATTACTTTTCATGCTGTTTTCGTACGAATTTCCAAAAACCCAGCCTTATCTGACACCCTCACCCCAAATTTCAAGATTCTAGATTAAGCTGTATAACAATACATTAGCTTCATAATATCTTAACGTCTATCCAGTTGGAGGGATTCATACCCCTCATACTTCAAAAGCATTTTTATACCCTACACAACTATGTTGTCAGGGTATTATAGCTTTGTGCAGCCCCAAAAGTTTGTAACGCCGCGAAATATTGGTCCTAGACCCACCTTTAAGTATACCGATCGTCATATCTCGACTAGCTGAGTCGATCAAGACATGTATGTCCGTCCGTCCGTCTGTTCATTATAATTTGTAAACACGATACAGACCACAGTTATAGATCAATCTTCACGAAATTTTGCATGTAGGATGGATTCTGGCCAATGAAGACCCCTATTGTTTTTGGAAAAGATCGGTTAATATTTAGGGGATGAAATGGACCAAAAACTTTATTTTTGTCGGTTTTTCTGGTCGCTCCAGAGGCCGCAATTATGGCCCAAACACCGCGAATTTTTGCATGGAGAAGGGGATCGGACCAAAGAATAAGCATGCCTGTTTTGATAGAGATCGGTCAATATTTAGGGGGTCAAATGGACCCTGACTTTTGTGTGAAAAATGACAAAATTTGTATTCTATACCGTATATATTTACTCCTGAAGGACATAGACCCAAAATGTTGATAGTATATCCAAGAGGAGTGGTTGACCTTTAAATTGATATCAATTATATTGTCGTAGGTACTCGGATGCGGGAGTTACACTTAAATATTTACAGGTGCTTAGGTATTCATATATTATTTAGTAACCTATTACCACACTGGAGGGCGGAAATATAGCGCTGATCGCTTTGAAATGTTCCATGAGGTTCCAGTTATGGTCAAGGGCATCGCCTAAAGTGTTAGGTGATGATCAGATAATAATTTTTCGGATGAAGTGGACCGAAAACATAATTATTTGTACTTGTTGAGTCGAAAGTCGAACATCACAACACAACCTACGGTGAAGGGAATCTGGACAAGTAATTAGAGGGGCTGTGTTAATAATTAGTAACATTTGCTGACTACTAGCCAGTCAAGAGTGTGCAAATATCGCGAAATATTGCCCAATCTCAGAATATAGAGCCACAGAAAGTTAGATTTTCATGGAAGTTGTGTAGGGTATCGTATGGTCGGCCCCGTCCGACTATACTGCTCCGCTCACTGGTTATTATAATAATTAGATTATTTGATATAGCACATAGTGACAAGGACTACAATATTATATATAGTCTCAACCCCTAAATTCCAGCTACAGACTTAAATATTTTATATTGAAGAAAACTCCGATCAGAATTCCGCTTGACGTGGGGTACCCCGGTTATTTTATGTAGATGGTTATCATATTGTACGATGGCATATGGAATTTACATTGGAACAACTGCCAGCTTGAAAATCTTCTATAAACTGGCAGAGAAAATTTCCGTACTAATACTTTTTAAAATCAGTGTATTGAACCTCCATTATGCTATTCACAATGCATTGATAACACACAACATATCAGCTGATTTGTTGCGAAAACATTTGTTTTGCTTCTTCTGCCTTGCTCTTTCATTCGTAACACGGCACATTGACGGTGATTTATCTCCCCTTCATTCGTCATAGACAACAGCTTTGCCGATTTCTTCATTCCAAATTCTTTCGGTAAATAAGAAGGAGGTAATATTGGTTTCTTCCAGAAGAATTTTCTTCTTTTTCAAGAAAAAAATACAATAGAATTTTCCCTTTTTTAGTTATAATAATTGTTAAGAAAACATATCCTATTGAAAAATGCCTCAAGCTCGCCGAAAAGTTCCCTACAGTGGCAAAAAGAAGAAGGATCAATTGCTACAAAAGCGGCAATTGAAAGGTAAGTGGTCATTGGAATGCCGCCTAGAATCAATTCATTCTAAGTAGATATTCTTGTTGTTGTAATTTATAGGCTCGCAAAAATATTTGCGTACACGCAGCGATGATGGTGAAACTACGGAGGACAATGAATTAACCGTACGCAAATTAATGATGCGTTCCCAAGGATCCGGTGGTGGGGGTAATCGCAACGCCAATCGTTACAATTTGTGTTTCTACCAGGAATCGAAAAAAGAAATGGAACGTTTGAAGTTGGAGGGACTGAAACCCTATGCTCCGGCCACACCAAAGCAGCGGGAAATCGATGCTAGTTTTTATGATGGTTATGATTTTCCAATAAGACCCGAATGGAATTATGATATGGATAAGGCCACATTGGATCGCAATGAAAATAAATATTTTAGGGTGGGTAAAAATGAAAATGGAGACAATGATTGTTTGGAAATTAATTAATTTCGGATTTTTAGGAATATGTTGAGCATTTGCAGAAAAGGCAAAAGGAAGAGAACAAGGAATTGTCCTTGTTTGAATTGAATTTGGAAACATGGCGCCAATTGTGGCGGGTATTGGAACTATCAGATATATTACTGATTATTGTCGATGTTCGTTATTCGGTAAGTAAAAAGCATTGAGAATTTTTTTCAAACCGGATTTATTTATTAAAGTTTACATTTGCAGACCTTAATGTTTCCACCATCCTTGTATGATTACATTGTAAATAAGATTGGTAAACATGCCATTTTGGTTTTAAACAAAGTTGATCTTGTGGCCCCTGAAGTTGTGGTGGCATGGCGTTCCTATTTCAAGGAGACATATCCCGGTTTGCCAGTTGTTATATTTGCCTCAAATCCTCAGCAATCAAAGAAAGGTAAACGATTCTATCCAATATTAACAATATTTCCAATTATCTAGGCCATTTTCTTTTAAGGAACCCAACAAAGCCGCCGTTTAAATTATAAACGTGGCATTGAAGGTGTCTACAACATCTTTAAGGAATGCCAAAAAATTGTTCAATCTGAGGTAGACCTTACCGGTTGGGAACAAAAAATTCTGGAAGATATGGAAACAGATAATGCATTTCTGGAAACCGAAAACGACACGATAGTAGAAAAGACTTCAGACGAAGCCGAAAGTACAATGCCCCATGAGAGTGATGGTGAAAAACGTGAAAAATACTATAAAGGTATATTGACATTAGGCTGCATTGGTTTTCCTAATGTTGGGAAATCTTCCCTGATTAATGCCCTCAAAGGTCGCAAAGTGGTCAGTGTTAGCCGTACCCCCGGTCATACAAAACATTTCCAAACAATATTCCTCACGAATTTGGTACGTCTTTGTGATTGTCCAGGTTTGGTATTCCCCTCCTCGACATCGAAATATTTACAAGTCTTGCTGGGTAGTTTTCCCATATCCCAGCTGCAAGTTCCCTATCGTTCCATCCAGTTAATGGCTGAACATTTGGATTTACCGAAAATATTAAAAATACATTTACCCGAAGATTATGATGAATGGTCACCGGTGGCCATTTCTGATGCATGGGCATTTAAACGTGGTTTCATAGTAGCCAAATCGGCAAGACCGGATCGTTATCGTGCAGCTAATCACCTTTTAAGGTCCTGTGTTGCAGGTCAATTACAATTGATCTTACAATTCTATCCACCCAAATTCAATGAACAAAAAGAAATGTGGCTTCAACATCCCGATGTGGAAGAGGTTAAGAAATATCAAAATCTACCCGAAACTGAAAATGAAAAAGAAGAAGATATACAAGATAATGATGATACATCTTCGGTTAATTCGGAAAGTAAGTCCATATTCTTACAATTGCTCTTAATTATTTTTATTTAATTTAAAAACATTTCATTTCACTACAGGTGCATACGAAACCGATGAAAATAGTTCATCCAATGATGAAACAAATGCCGATGAAGATGATGAAGCTGCTGAAAATGCCTATCTTGCTGGTCAGGCCTCTACATCTCGTAATGCTTTTGCCTTACTCGAAGATGATTAGAGAAAAAGAACACAAAACAAAAATTGAATTGGATTTGTTTAAAAAAAAAATGGTCAATGTTATCCAGTATTTCTGTAGTCCATGTGGATTACATTTTTTCACAGTAGGAAGCATTGGCTTCTTTTAGTAATCTTCGTTATCATAATCGTCCTCTTCATCTGTTGGATATTGATCTACATATTCACCCATATCATCCAAAGAAAGTAGCAAGTGTATGGCTCTGCAAAAAGAAAAAGAAACAAAAGCGAAGCGCATTTTTATACGTCAAAATATTTAACAAGGAAAAAACAAATATGTATGTAAAATTGTTATTGATTAACAATATATCTGAAAAATAATAATAAACACTACATTTTATATATGCAAAATAATTCTGCAGGAGCCCTTTATACAAGTCTCCCACTGGGTTTCTTTCCAAAGAACATCTATTAATTAAATACCTACAAAAGATCTATAAAAATAAATCCTCCAGAGATCTATAAAAAGGGCAAACTTAAATGATTTCTATACATAGACGTCCCTTCAAAGACACAGATCTGTACAAAGTATCCAGTAATTACAAGAACATGCAGAAATAACGTGGACTTTTTTTACTTACTTTATCAACTGTTCGTCACTGCTATTCGGTTCTATGGGCGAGGGATGCATAGCCTTTTTCCTTAACAAAACACCAAGGAGTTGTCGCAACTTTAATATCACATGTGAAGATTCGCGATCGCATTTGAAACTATAAAACAATCATGAGAAAAATCAAAATCTGATATAGAAAAATCTTTACTCACAAATAAATATCTGCCACACTTATATAAGGTTCACGTGGTGACAATTCACCCTGTTTAACACCATCACCAAATATCAGCAAAGCCATGGGAAACACCATTGTGGCATCTAACAGATATACTTTTGACGTCCGTTGTTTTTGGAAATAAACAAAGTAACTATAAAAGAAAGAACTTTAGAAATGTATTTAAAATAGAGAAAAAATTCGGCTTACTTCGCATCAAAAGATCCTTCACCACTGTTTACCGATGACGGATGAAAATTGACTTTACGATCCACGGGTGTTGACATACTGTGTATGGCATGGACATGGCGACCAACACGTTTCACCTTTCTATGCCGGCGAGGAAAGATAATTACTATTACAATAACTATTTTAAATATTCCCCTTACCTTAAAAATGCCAAATTTGGATATAGACCTGATGCAATAATTGCTCGAAGCAAGGGAATATTTTCCGAATTAGTATTGGAAATTCGGGCACAACAGTCGGCCGATTCTAAAAAGCTATTTGGAAGAATAACAGTTTAGATTAGAAGTTCAAAGGTTTCCATTACAACTCCCCCCATTTTACTACACTTTATTTCAAGAAAATGCCCAATATTGGTAATTTAATGTAATTCACCTTACCTTGAATTTCTTAAAAGTTCAGCAAATTGTTTCTTCATATTTTCAATTTGTGTCACGGTCGATTTACTTAAAAAGTTATTATAGCAATAATTCGAATCTCGTCCTTGCTGTGAGGCAATACGATAGCCTTTGATGACATTGTGAATCAATAGGTGATCACTTTTGGAATTTTCAGCCAATTCCCGTTTTATATTATCCACCTTTTTCTCCAAACCCAATGGTGTATAAAAGGGACTTTTGAAAGATATTCCAGCAGCGGCAGATGTAATGGGATCCAAACAACGAAATAAGGCAGCCATTAAAATCATTTTACCCATTTGTGGATCAATAGGTAAACGGGCTAAATGTAAACCCAAGGGTGTTAAATTCGATTCATTGTCTAGGGCATCTATACTATAATATTATAAAAAAAAATATGTTACTGGAAACTTAAAGAAGTTTTAGAACGTTTACCATTTCAAAAGTCTTAAGCCATGGTTAATTGCCCGAATGTCGGGAACATTTATCAATGTCTTTAGAAAATCGTACGGTTCCTTAATGTGCAGTAACTTCAAATGCAATATTATCGATTCCAGTTTGGTTCGCAAAATCTCCGGCAATGGAATCTCAGTCATTGATTTCTCCCTTACTCTGTAATAGAAACAGAAAATCCGAAATTTATTAAAATCAAATAATAATCGATGGTTCCGCATTACCTAGTATATAAATTATAACACACACCCGGTTGAACACGACCAGCACGACCCTTACGTTGTTTCGAATTTGCCAAACTAACCCAATCTTCTTGCAGTGTTTGGATATTTTGTTCGATATCATAATCATTCACTTTGGTACGTCCTGTATTTATAACATAGACCACATCTTCAATGGTCACGGATGTTTCAGCCAATATTGTGGATAAAATTACCTTACGTATACCCGGTGCTGGGGGTTCAAAAACATTTCTTTGATTGACCGTTGGCATCATCGAATGCAAGGGATATATTTGTATCGTCTCAGCCAAGCGTTGATGCCTTGGATTCGATGGCCTCTGCAGTTGATCATTTAATTTCGAAATACGTTCATAACCTGGTAGGAAAACTAATATAGCCCCTGGCGGCTTATTTTCACATATATAAAATATTAAATATTCTAGAAAATTTAAATTAGCACATCCTTCAGAATCTGAATAACGCCGTAATGTGTCAATAACTTGTCTATCGTATTTATCCTTCATTGTCGAGACATACGAATCAATCATATGGGTGTATTGAAAATTCTTTTCCGATACTTGTTTTTCATGTTTTCGTCTGGGATTGTGACCCTTCTGGGGTTTGCCCGATGCCAAGCAGTCATTTTGAAAATTTGTATAACCTGTTTCTTGTAATATATCTTCTAAATATAGAACATCTACGGGATATAGGGTACCATGTATATACAACGTATGACAATTATTAAAATATTCACAAAAGGTTTGCTCCGATACGGTGGCACTCATTAAAATCACTTTCAGATCTGGACGATATGGTAAAATCTGAAAAGGTAACAAGTGGGGAGTTTAAAAAATGAGAGGTGAGTAATATGGGATTTAATTAAATATTACAATTTTTAAAAGACCCATAAGTAGATCTGTTTCAACACTGCGTTCGTGAATTTCATCTAATATAATTGTGGTCAAATCACTCATCAATGGATCTGTTTGCATCTTCTGCAATAAAATACCGGTGGTGCAGTATAAAATGGAACCATTTTCACGAGGCATGCGACTGAAAAGGGGAATAAATAACATTAAATTAAGGACGGTATAGGTAAATAAAAAGGACGGTAAAATACATAAAGGTCAAATTGTATAGAAAAAAGGTTAACATCTTTGGGAGAAAAAGAAAAATGCTCTCTTATAAGGAGGAACTGCATCGAACGAATTTCAAAAATTACTATATAATTTTACTAATTTTATTTTATAGTATGGGTGACTTTCTCGATACCACACATCATTTCTTATTAACAATTCCATGAAACACCGTTTTCAGTTAATCAGTAAAAAACAACTACATACCTTTCCAAACGTATTTGATAGCCCACCGAACTTCCCAACGATTCATGACGTTCATATGCCACACGTTCGGCCACCGATATCGCTGATATCCTTCTCGGTTGGGTGCATACAATGCGACATGTGTTACCTTTGTTTGCCGCAATAAGTTCGTCCAATATCAGCTGAGGTATTTGTGTTGTTTTACCACAACCCGTACTGCCTACCACCAAAACTACTTGATTTTCTCGTATCGATTTTAAAATATTTTCCGACTGTTGCATGGCCGGAAGTTTTTGGCGCATTTTTAATTTCTTTAGATATTCTTCATTGTCATTTTTACTTTCCAATTCCAATTTAAGGCGCTGACTATGTTCCACATTAGATTCGGGTTTTAAATCAAAATTTGCCTTAGCCTTTTCCAAGAATTCTTCAAAGCTAACATGAAGTAAATTGTGAAAATGTTCCTGGAATTGATGACAAACTTGTTCATCTTGATTTTGTTGTTCAAATGCTTCCAAACATTTATGAACTTGACTTAGAACACCTGGTGGTATGTCCACAGAGGGATTAAGACGTATGGCCCCGGTACGTTGTTCCTCATCTTTTTTCCGCATGCTTAAATTGCGATAATACATGCCGATTTCGCGGCCACTTAGACCAGGTGGTCGACCGCCACCACCGCGGCCATGACCACCATATCCGCTTGCACCATCAACGTCTCCACCATGGCCATGACCACTATAGCCGCCTCCATAACCACCACCTCCTCCACGACGGCCACGACCGTGACCACGGTTGCGATTCATTTTCTGTCCT